AAAACTACTACTACCTTCAAATTAAGAAAACTTCCTAATCTATAATATATAAAATTCAAATAGAAAAATCAAAACTAAAAAATTCACAAAAATAAGAATTACTTAAAGTTATGAGTTTATGGAATAAAGAAATTATGTCTTATTTTCCTATTATCAACAAAAAGGTAAATTAATTTAATTATAGATGCTTACATGACATAACACTATTGGTTGATTTAAATCCTATATGAATGCTTTTAGTAGCTTATATCCTCAACTTTTATATAGTGTAGATTGTTAATTTCTTTATTTGGGTTCTTCCAAGTTTTTTTTAGCCATGTGATGAAGATTTTCAGTTTTTCTTGTTTACTTGTTTATACAATGCTTTTTGCTATATATTTTGTACAATCAACTGATTGAGTATTGACGTCTATGTAATTGAAATAGGATCTGTATAACTTAAAGTTTAAAGGAGCATTTACGTGATGCATTTTGTAGATCTGGTTTGCTATCTTTTTGGTTTTAGGCTACTTCTTTGTTGGTATATTGTATTACAATTGATTTTCCTGTATAAGCTTAATGAAAATTTTCCCATAAGCCATCTAAAACATTATGTTTTATATTAGAGAAATTTGGCCGAATCTTATTCATTTTGTAGTTGTTAATTTAGTGCCAGTTTAAGCGTTGAAAAAAATTAAAAACACCAACCATGTTGAACCAACAATTACAAAACGACCAAGATTTGAGTGATGACGATCACAAAACAAACATTAACACGTAACGTAATTGGTTTAAAAAAAAAACACAATAACACGTAACCAAAGGAGAGAAACATCAACAGTACAAGAACATTACATCTAGCTATTAACCATAGTAAGATGGTTACATCTTGTATTAAGCATTTATATTCATGGATTTCTTTAGTTTAGTGTCCAACACCTGGAGTAGGACCAGAATCTTTGACTTGTCCAACCTTCGTGTAGCCTTTGGCTCGATGCCCAACCCCCGGGCTTGGCCCAGACTGTTTCACCGTGGCTAACCACGGCAAATCTTGTGCAGAGGACCTGACCGGTTTAAACGAAGACATTACACTTCCATTAAACACAGACGAATCTCTTAATTGGGTCACCGCTCTCGAACCATCCTTAACCGGTCTTCCTTCAATGGCTAGTAACGATCCCACCATTATCATAACAACGAGAAACGCAAAGTAGAACTCGGTCCGGTTCTTAGCCACCACCATGATGAAATAATCTGTGAAGTAGTAACACTAGTTACTTATTAATCTCGATATATATGTAATATGATAATGATGATAAAGTTTAGTATAGGGTTCAAGTGTATTTATAGTATATAAGATAGTGGATGTATAATTTTGGAACTGTTGATTTGCCGCCACCTTTAAGTTTCAACAGTTGAGAGATCACATTCACGTAAACTAGTTAAAGTATTGAGTTTGATTCTTAAAGAAAATTGACATGATACATATACGTGTACGATCTAACAATACATTGGTTTTTATTGGTAATACTGCACTAGCTGATGTGACACGTTCATTAAAAATACAATTTGTTGTCACTAAAATTTACTGAATTTGCCATTTTATAAATATTTGATTGGTGGCAATCTTTATTATCACATTATTATTTTCGCCAAAATGCAAATACCGGATCAAAAGCTTTGACTATTGTTCTAAGTTCTAAGCCATCAAAATATCAAATAGATTGTACTGTTCATTGTGATGTTCCCATTCATTGTATCATTGTTGTGATTTGGGAGGCATTGAGAGTTTGCGTAAACTTAATTCCTTTTGTGGAAATAGTGATATTTTCTAATAAAAGGAATTAAGTTTATATGGTTTATTGACTTTAAAATTTGAGGGAATAGATATGGTTTATTGACTTTAAAATTAGATGAGATTTGTACATGAACCTACCTTGCTTGAGGTTCACTGATTTTTCAGGTAAGTTTCCATTATTTTCAAATCAAAGATCCTCTTTTGTAATCGCAAGTCACAACTACAAGGTCGTTACAAAAATATGATTAAATCTATTTAAAATCGGTGGTTCATCTCATTTTTATTATATATTCTAATGATATTAAATATTGTTAAGAAAATATTTCTAAAACATCAAATATCCTGAAATGGATTTACCAATAATTTATTTTTATTTATAGTTTTACCAAATATCAATATGTTATAGTTGTTTTAAAATTCAAAAATAAGAAGAAAAAAAAAACAAATTGGCGACAACAGAGAAATTATAAGTTTAGTTCCGAAACATTAAAATAAAAGAAATGATTTTTACTTATCAGTTATATCGAAGAATACAACGGTACGGCACTTTTTTATAAAATAACCTAAATGTTTGTATTAAGCGATGGTTTTTGTTATGTTCATAGTATTAGTCCTTTTCCATGAA